TAGTATAGTATAGTATAGTATAGTATAGTATAGTATAGTACTTATATACTACTTTCTACTGTTTATACCCGCTAGGTTCTCTAAACTCAACGATCGCTATAAGATCCCGAAGCCCGATCTGGACAGAGGAAGCCGACTGAACCTGCGCTACGTGCTGGCGGAGGAAGACCTTGTTGGTGAGTGTATGACAGCGAGCTCTCGCCATCGTGTTGTGCCCCTCCCCGAGGTTTTAGGGAACAAGGGAACAGGAGCATTAACTTTCAGGGAACATGGGATATTGTCGAATTGTTTTCAGGGATCAAGGAATGATATTTGATTTTTGGGAACAAGAAAACTATAATTTTCCATCTTTGTGATTTATTTCACAGTTTGATGAGACTGTTTACAATAAACTATGAAGTATTTCAAGGTCATTTCAACATAGTGTGCTGTAGGAACCATTATGTAACATATAAGTTATGTACCCAGGTAAAATATATGATAACATGCGAGCCATAGATGTACCAAGAAGACATCACAATAACCCTCGAGTTAAATCCATGATAAGCCATTAACTTAAGTAAAGCAATTTGCATATGAAGCACATAAGCTCAATAACAGATTCGTTTTCGCTTATGTGTTGGTGTAGGCGAACAGAAAGAGCGGACATCCGGTGAGGTTAAACAGAAGGAACAAAAGATGGCGTCCAAGTCGTCAACTACCGCTAAAACTACCGAGAAGCAGCAACAACAACAACAACAACAACAAAATAGTAGTAGCCAAATAATTTCCTTCCAGTGCAGCCCCGTCGATTCTGCTAGTTGCTCGGTGTTATCAGCGACATCTGGCGTCATCTCATCCGTTTCAACACGTGATTTGATGACGTCACAATGAACACATATGACGCAGACGATACCGACTTACCTGTCGCGTTCGGGAATTTCTAAACCATAGTCAAGTGAGCCGCGTCGTGGCCGGTGCTGCTGCTGTTGTTGTTGTTGCTATTATAATGACTATAATAATGACTATAATAATGACTATAATAATAACTATTATAATGACTATAATAATAACTATAATAATGACTATAATAATGACTATAATAATGAGTATAATAATGACTATAATAATGACTATAATAACAAAATAATGACTATACTAATGACTATTATAATGACTATAATATTGACTCCCTATATACTAATGACTATGCCCTAGCATCTTTTACCTGCTCATGAAGACCGGGCCCCTGGCGTATGATGCGTTCCATTCGTTCGCCCGGTAGCTCAGCAACCGTTCTCTCTTCTCTGGTCATCACCGGACGCCCGGTGGGAGAGCTCGTTCTTACCGGATACTGCTGGTAGCTACGGGATGTGACCCTCATCCGGTCATCCCTGTGAATAGTGATCATGAAAAACGACTGGCCACAAACATTTCAAAAATATTTTTTATCTTTTGCGTATCATAATAATTTACGCGAGATAGGAATACTTAATTTTTTCATTATTATAGTCATTATTATAGTCATTATAATAGTTATTATTATAGTCATTATTATAGTCATTATTATAATCATTATTATGGTTATTATTATAGTCATTATAATAGTTATTATTATAGCTTAATGACTCCCTATATAATAATGACTAGATAACTAATGATAATAATGACTATAATAATGGCTATAATAATGACTATAATAGTGACTATAATAATGACTATAATAATGACTATAATAATAACTATAATAATGACTATAATAATGACTATAATAATGACTATAATAATGACTATAATAATGACTATAATAATAACTATAATAATAACTATTATAATGACTATAATAATGACTATAATAATGATCAAAAAACTCATTATTTTTGTACAATCGCAAGGAAATGTTCATATGATGCCGTGATTACAGCTTCAATTTAATAGATATAACCCCCTAGTTTTGATGAAAACTTTAAAACAACATGGCTGCCGTTTTTCTTCACGACAACTTCGTGTTTTGTCAGATGTCTCGCAAATCTCGCGAGAATCACGGACGGGACAGTCATTCACGCGAGCAGAGCTACCAATACGAGCGTCGGGAGCAGTCACGTGCTGAACCCGATCGCCGGGCTAAGTCACTTGATAGGTATGGTTATATATATATATATATGTGTGTGTGTGTGTGTGTGCGCGCGCGCGTGCGTGCGTGCGTGCGTGCGAGCGTGCGTACGTGCGTGCGTGCGTGCGTGCGTGTGTGTGTGCGTGCCGTGCGTGTGCGTTGCGTGCGTGCATGTGTGTGTGTGTGTGTGTGTGTGTGTAGTGTGTGTGTTGCGCTGCGCTGTGCGTGTGTGTCGGTGTGTGGTGTGCCATTCCGTAACATAGATTTTGTTGTGAAATTCAGGCATGACACTCCACAACACATGTAAGAGACGATATTATGACTTGTGTACCACTATGTCAATATACTCTTTCCGATATCTATTAAAGAAAATGTTTAACTTAACTAGATTATAGTAAATTGCTACTCAATCCGCAAATGTTCGAACGAACGGACTGTAATAGTGCCCCTAACATCTTCGCTATCTAAGTATCATGCTGTGTATTATGCAAACATCATAAACAGCAAGGCGTTTCATTAGGTTAACTCCAGGCAATAGATAATCACTTATTTCTATTAGTGCAAGCGTTTTAGAAGTACACCGGTCGATAGAATATAAATTCATGTACATAAATAAATATTATTCGCAGAAATTTTCTCTCCATCATCCTTTTCAACGCTTTGATTGTCTGTTCTCATCTACGCGCCATCGAGTCAGACAGATTAATTAATTCCCGATGACGTCATGTAATTATCATCTAAGGATAAAAACGCTAATCTTTGCATGATGACAGGTGGATCATTAATTCCAATAGATTCCTTATTAAAATATTTACTATTAATCATTTAATTAATGTATAGCTAAACGGCTCCCAGTGATATCACTCGACGCAAAATCCTCACTCTTGACCACGGAACTGTAAATCCTCCTCACTCTACACAATTCGTATCTCTAACTTTCCCACGTTCTCCCTCACTCTTTCTCTCGCTCCTCTCTCTCCTTCGCTCTCCCTCAATCTCTCCGGTCTCCTTGCTCTCTCCCTCTCTCTCCTCTGTCTCTTCTTTCTCTCTCTTTCTCTCTCTCTCTTCGACTTCTCTCTCTGTTTCTGCTCTCTCTCCCTCCTCTCTCTTCCTCCGCTTTCTCTCTTTAGTTTCTCTCTCTCTCTTTCACCCTGCTCGATCTGCCCCCCACTCTCCCTCCCATCGCTCTGCGCTCTCACTCTTTCGTCACTTCTTCTCACTCACTCACTCACTCGCTTCTCGTCTTTCACCTCACCTCACTCTCACTATCG